TCATTAAACTTACTTCTCTAGACCTCATTTCTGTACGATTCAAGTGTGCTGAGAGGGACTCTAATTTCAATTTCAATTGTTGGGTTCAAATTTTATTATCTATCAAATCCAGGCTGCTCTTTATTCTGGGCATAGCTGAAGCTACAGGTACCTCAAGCAGCTTCAGTACTTTTAAAAAGACAGTGTGCTCTCTTTAAAAAGGATTTATAAAAATTCCCCCAGGATTTTGGTGGATACTGCCCATTTGATACAACCCATACCCTTTGAGGATTAGTGCAGTCTGAGCTGCTGAGCAAGTGCCCATTAATAATATTACTCTGGAAAGTGATGCATGCTGTGATAACTGAAAGCCAGTTGTAAAACTGATCACCTGATGTCAAATTCTTTTCTCTTTTTGCCACTTGCAAAATAGATACATTGTTTAAACCAATGTTCTAGGTTATCTCTATCGCTCAGAGGAGTGAAAAGTACCAAACCCTGTAGTTAAATCCATATACTTTCAGGCTGACTGGAACATCCTTTGGAAAGTCAGTCTCTCTCAGAAAATTTTAGGGAGAATATAGAGGACTAGCTTAGTCTATGCAACAAACCTAGCTGTGATTGAATAACACAGACCCACCATGTGTGATTACTTGTAATTATGCTCTCAGTCTTTACGCTGTAGCAGAATGTGATACAATGAACCTGAGTCAAATGACCACAGTCAAATGACCACGTGTTGTTGCAGTTGCAGGCACAAATGTAAAGTGCCCTTAGAGCGTTTGCTTAGTAAACATTCTGTTGTTTTAACAGCTTGAAGCTAAGGATGTGTTTGTAAGGACTTACTTAAGAGCACTACAGAGATTCTCTGTATTAGGGTTGAAAATAGCAGTATGTGTCTAATCAGCAGCAGCAGAATGTTTATGAAATTTCACTGGAGTTTTCTGAATATTTAGTTTCTTTAAAGGTTCTTGTTGTATTATTTATGATAAAGTATAGGTATTACTATAATAATGCATCTTATTGTTCACATCTGTGTGCATATGTATTAATTTCATTAGCCCTTTGACCTGCTTTAGTTTTGGATGCTGAAATAACAACTGAATTCCAATCACAAAAACATCTAAAGGGATTTCTCTGTTTTATTTTTTATAGACTCAGCTTCGAATTGATTCATTCTTCAGACTAGAGCAGCATGAAAAACTGGCCATTAAAAGTCAGAGGCTGCGCAGAGCGGTGACTTGTCTGAAGAGAAAGGAAAAAGAAGGAGAGGATGAAATTCAGGAGGCCACTGTTGTTATGGATGTTGAACTTAACCAGCAGGAGAAAATGAAAGGGGAAGATACTGCAGGCTGTGAAAATCAAG